GCGTTGCGAGGCAAGACGTAAAATAAATAATGGAGAACGAGGTTATGGAGTGTTTCCGCTTCGAAAAAATTAAGCATGAAGACTAGAAGCGTGCGTTGGGTGAGAAAGTATAATCGAAAAAACTTATGTAGTGTTTTGAAAATACATCGTTGAAGAAAAAAAACATTGCCTATCGCTTAAACGTGCGACCCCAATGGGGAACGTATATGAGATGTAGTTCAAAATAACGCTTCAAAAAAAAACATGATGGCAATGCAGTGCAGTATACAAGGTGTGTTGAAATGGAAACCTAATTTTTCTATAANTTTTTTATTCACTTCTGAAAGTCATAGGAGAGAAACTTAGTAAGAATTACCCCAAAGAAAATATGCACCTTAAAACTAAAGAAATACTAATTTCAGAACGTCAGGTTACTTTGCAAAACGCAAAATTGTATTATAAAAAAGGGGTTTTTGGGCTAACATGAAGTCATAAATAAATAGGTACAATTTCATTTTTATTACTTTTTTACATGTATATTTGTATACCCCATGAAGTCTGCAAACGATGTGTTGAAGTCCTTCGAAATTGGTTTAAGGACAAGAAAAAAAGCTTTCCGATATGCTATGGTATGACGCGAGTAAAAACCATAGTGATGATTATTACTTTTGTTTTTGTGTATTGTGAAAGAGTATAATTCAAAACGGAAGCAGTCAATTTTATACCCCAATCTGCAATCAGCTATTCGTCCCATCAGTCATGGGACCGAAATATCAGTGCCCAAGGCACCTGCTACCTTGTAAGAGATTTTAAGTTCTCACGAAGATGATGCTTATACCTGAAAAGTCAAGTTTTGGATTTGGAGATGACAGCAGCCATAAATTGTTTTACCAAGACGAGCTGAATGAATTGGTGAGAGACTTGAATCTTCCCCAAAACGCTGGATCAATGCTCAAAAGCAGGAACTTACTTTTGTCGGGAGTGTCTTCCTCCTAGTTCAGATATCGTGAGAAGCAGTTCACTTCCTACTTTGCCCAAGAGGACAAGTCGGTTTATTTTACTAATATTGAAGTTTGGGTGGATACATGTAATATCTCATGACCCAGCACAGTGGCTTATTTTCATAGAAGTTTTAAAAAGAAGCCTTAAGCAGTTCTGCTTCACAATGGCGGTTTCTATGCCACCATCCCTGTCGGTCATTCCTTACACCTCAAGGAAACCTACAAGCATGTGGAATTGGTTCTTTGCGAATTAAAATATAAAGACCACGGTTGACAAAATTGCGGTGATTTCAAAATCTTGGGCATGTTGCTTGGACAACAATTTAAGTTTACCAAATTCCCTTGCTTTTTGTGTCTGTGGGATAATAGAGACCAAACAAATCGCTGGACCAAAAAGTGTTGACCTCCAAGGGAGCTTTACATTGGCAAAAAAACATCCTCGTTCTTCTACCACCGCTTCACATAAAACTGGGGTTGATGAAGCAATTTGTGAAGTCACTTCCAAGAGATTGTTTCAAATAATGAACTACCCAAAATCCACAAGAAGATTTTCACTCCCAATACTACAACCATTACAAGGAAAAACATCATCTTCTGTGAAGAATTCAAGGCATTTTGTCGAACTAGTAGGGGCAATCGAAGTCATAGAGCAAGATCAACTAATCAGTTTCGACGTGGAAAGCCCTTACATACCACCGTTCTGGTCGAAGAAGCACTCCAAATCATACATAGGAAGCTATCCGAAGACGAGGACCTGAAAGATTGAAGTAATTATGGAATTACTAGGATGCTGTGAACGANCAAAGTGATAATGAATCATAATATGATGTTATATACGAGGTGTTCCATTTGAAAAATCAAAGAAGCCGCTACTTTATAGTAGAAGCGACAACGCCGCTTCGTCTGAAATATTTTAGGCGTGTAGGTCATATTGATTTATGCATACTCTGAAATTTTCAGGTTGATCCGTTAAATAGTTTGTCAGTAACGGCTAATTAACGCTCATCATGAAAAGCCCTGTATAAGTGGGCAATATGATAAGTGAAATATTCGCGAAATAGAGAAGTTTTATGTTGTGGTATTGTTAAATGTGTCCTGAATCTCAAGTTAAGATGGTGTTACGTCAGTTCTAAAGCATATTTTTTGGAAAAGATAAGAGGATTTTTTGTTTTAAGGAGTTTTTGAAAAAATGTTGCAGAATGAAACGTTCGTCTGGATTCCATATTCAACCAACCCACATTCCCGAGTAGATTACATATCCGTAATGAGACTAATGCATGCATTCTGGAGCCAGTGTTGCTACAAGCTATCTTTTCATCGAAGTAGATTTCTGAAAGAGAGCGGGGTAGAACCGGGGTGGATCCACATTCACTTGATGACACCAATCACAGTGATGCATTGACGTATACCTATGATTGTCGTTCTTTGTTCCATGATCAATTTGACGATCGTAATCAAAAACATAAGTCGCATGTCATCGAATCAAAATTTGGGATCAATGTGTTTCCAAACCATTCCTCGAAAATATTAGCTTCCATGGTTTTATGATAGTCAACATTGCAGTCCTCAAGTTTTTTTCCATATCACTTCAAAGAATTCGGACCCATTCTTTACTTCCTCCGCAATGAACAATGATTAGTCGCGATCCTTTGTTTGCAGGCTTGTTAGGTGTACACATTCTCGAACCATCAGTCCACCCTTTCGTAACTGTGTTGTGAGTGTTATACCAAGTTTCGTCCAAAAAGAAAATTGGCCGTTATTCTTGTCTATATTTAGTTATTTGTTCTGAGTATTTGTTACGCAATTTCACTATTCTTCTGCTTTACATAACTGTTTGACGTTTGTTTATTATTTTAAATCTGAATCCTAGTTTCTTTATCCAATTCTGAAGAGTTTTGTCACAGCAGCTCACGTTATGGAAAGGAAGTATTCTATTTCTTCCTTATGATTTCTGTTGTAGGAATCTCATTGCTTTCGTAACAGTCGTATATTGTTTTTTTCAATGATTTTATTAGATGAACATCTAAAGGTTTTGGTAATCCTGTATCACATCGCGTCTTGCGTTCATTAGGTTTGTTTTTGACTATTTTATGTACAGTTGAGAAAGGAATTTCGGTCAAATCTGATGTTACTTGTGAAAGTTTCTTTCCCTCGAAACCAAACTTGAGATGTATATTCTTATATACATTGAAACATACTCTCTGTGTTTTAATATTCGAATGCATTCGAATCTTATTCATTGGTACCTCTTTTATGCATTGTTCACCATCGCTATTGGAAACACTACACTGGAAAAGTCTGCGTTATTATCACACTCGTTATTACTATTAATACCTACTAGTCCAAAGACGCCACATTTTGAACAGATAACAAAAATTTTAAGTAATTATAACTGCACCAAAATCGAATTTCCACACTCAAATCGCGATCAGTTCCTGAACTGAACACGGCGGCGATAACCAAAGGCCGCATTCCCAGAATTCTATTCGTCAGTGTAACATGACTTCTAATTTAATTTTATGACTCTTCAGCCAATCACAAAACTCGGTTAGTAAAAATTATCCAATACGAACCGCCAAGTCTCTACAGTCCACGTGGACTAGTTTCCTGCCGGTTCATTTCTATGTGTTGGTTTTTTTGGCCTTCGAGAGTGCCGACAACTTTGAGAGTGCACAATATCGGTTACTTCGACTATACATATACCTACATTTATATCACAGACTGAGATTGCATATAATATACACATTTCCATATTTACATTCTAATGTCTAACTAAAAATGTCGAATGTCATGTCACAAACATCAAATAACATTTCACACGTACAGAACATGATCACGGCACTCGGTATCATTGGAAGAGCAGAAGAGCATTGTAGTGTAACTCAGTACTCAGTCACAGAATATCGGAACTATCGGTATAAAAGTCTTACAGTAAGACACAACCCAAGGAACCACTGCCAGTGGTGCCAGACACTCAGTCTACGCCAACTTTGCCACGGGTACTAGGCTCGTGTAACGCGGTAGATTCAAAATCAAACCACAAATATTTGTTAATTTTTTTCAATTTTCGTTTTACATTCCTTTGCTTTATATCTGAGCGGGGAGGATTTACTTGAGGGGAGCGAGAGGGTGAAATTAAGTTCAAGAGGGGTAGAACTACCCCGTACGGGGTAGCTGTGGCAACAGTGTCTGGAGCTTTTGGATTCTAAAACTGTCACTCTTCAAAATTCCCGAACCGTACACCACGTCTGCGTAGTTGACATGTGAAAGAACTAAAGCATCGCAGAGTATAATTTTACTTTTTTTATTCAGAAATGCTCTGTTGGAATGTATCATTTTCAAATTTGCATAACCCCGTTTAGGAATTTGCGAAATGTGTTTTTTAAAACGGAGACTGTTGTCAAGATATAGGCCCAAGTTTTTTGTAACTCCTTTCAAGGGAATTCTGTACCATCTATTACAATATTTGTGAGGCCAGAATGATTTCTTGCCGGTGTTCTACCAACGAGCATGACATTAGATTTAGATGCATTAACAGATAGGTAGGCAATATTTAGTTAACAAAGATAATAACGTATCGAGATCGTTATTAATTTGCCATAAAAATATAAGTTTTGTTACGAAATTATAAATATAAATTGTTTTTTAGTCTTTTATCTTTTATTTCAAGATGAAAATGTGATGTTCTATAACAAAATGAAAGTCATTGTCAGATTCAGCACACCCAAAAACATAAGAATTATGCAAAAAAAAACAAAACAGCTCTCAATATTTTTTGCAGATTTTTGTTATTTTAATTGATACTACCACTAAAAAATAATTATCTGGTAACAGGTTTGATTATTTCCATATATTATATATCATTCAAGACTGAAACATAATTTGTTTCCAATAAAGTTAAAGACAAATTTTGAAATTTCATTATTTCAATAGATAAATTTAATTTGTGACTTGTTGCGTAAATGTAATGTTCAAACTTTTTTGGGGTATATTTGAACAATGTTGTTTCACTATTTTCAGATGGTTTCTGGCGAAGTTGCAGCAGTACAACGGATTTCAGTACCCATAGACGTATTCAGTTCGTTTCCTTCCTTAGAAATCCCCAAAGCAGATGACATATATGGTCTTGAAGGATATGAAAAAATTAATGATACTCTCTACAAAGAACTCCCAAAACAATCACAACTTACTGCTGAAGAAAGAGAAAATAACTCTGAAAAACAAGCACACTGTGATATGATTTCAGTTCCTACAAATACATTTGACCTGTTCTCTTCGCCATATGTTGAAGTTTCCAGAATAGATCAAATATTTCGTGAAGAAGGATTCAAAAAGATTGGCGAGTTTATTTATAAAAAAATACCATCCAGTTTAGGTAAACCTATAATTGAACGGGACAGTTCAAATAAGAAACAATATAATTGCCAACCACCTTCAAACAAACAAAACGATAATTATTATTATAATTTACCAACTTCGGCCTTGAAGGAGTTGATTCAAGACAGGCACCAAGAAATGAACGGCGAAAAAGAGAGTCAGCAAGAGATTGATGGCGACAAAAAACAAAGGTTGATTCAGAAACCTACTAGTAAAGGTAAGAACCCATCATTGCCCAAAGTGGATGAAAGTGTCACTATTGAAGTGTGTAAACACTGCAACCAGAATTTTAAAACTAAAGAACTACTAACACTTCATTACAGCATCAGACATAACAAATCAAACATTTTTTCAAACATTAAAACTCAAGCAAAGACGGAGAGTTTAAGGAAACCTTTGCTGAATGGCATTTCCCAAATTGAAACAAAATTTAGAGCGAAAGGAGGAAGGGGGATACCTAGTACAAATAATACAATGAAGAGAAAACGATCCATGAAGTTGAATAAACGTTCATCCAATTTCGAAAGATTGAATTCAGATAGAAATTTTTCAAGAAAAAGTAGAGAGTTGCACTTCAAGAAAAAATGGATGTCCACAAACCAGCATTCTTTCGAAAATAAAATACAGGAGGCCCCCAACATTAAACCTAGCCTGAAAATACCCACAGAAAGCTACTTGTATCAAGAAGAAGAACGTATTTGGTTTGCTGAAGCGATGGGAAGTGATAATGTTGACTCAGATGACAATAACTCTAATATAAATGATAACGATGAGAAAAATAAATTTTTTTCATCATTAAAAAACAAATTGAGCGCACGTTTGAAAGGGAATAAGCTAGGCGACTCTGTTTTTCCAGTGAAGGAAAACATGGATGAAAATGGCAGAAATTTCTTAGAACAGCCAATGAGTAATCTAGAAAAGACGATTTTTAAACTTGATTTGTTGAAGAAAATACAGACTGAATTGAGAAATGAAATTAGTCAGAGTAAACGTGCTGATGAAAGATATGATTTTATCATGAAATTTTTATCCGAAAACAACTATGATTGTAAGTAATGGATGGAATTGTTCCTTTATAGTTGCCATAAACATTTAGAATACAACAGACGAAATTTTTAACGAATGAGTTCAGAAGGAATAAGAACAAGTAGAGATTTCAAGTGTTTTCAGACTGTTTTTATTTAAATTTTGTTTCAAAATATAGAGGATTTCTTTTCAGAAATTCATATAAATATGATAGAGAATCACTTATAAGCGAAAACTATGTATGTGAAAATGTATGATGACAATGGTTCAGTTTACCATATAGATGAAGGACTGATTTTTTGCATTTCTTATTTTTTGGAAATAAAGGATATTTTCGTCTTCCAACTGAATGGCTACAACCATGTACCTTTGTTGTAATTGCTAGAATGTTTGTATCCAAAAAACCTTACATTTGATTCAAATGAGGAAAATATAATTTTTGTTCATCAATATCTAAATGGTAATTTATTTTTGGTAAAACCAACATTTTATTTTCACATATTTTATTATTTCGTGATGAGCCTCCCATGTTCATGTAAATGTCATTTGTCATGTGAATCTTAAATATCATATTCATTGATCATGAAAAAAAAACTATGTACATTGAAATGAAGATTTTTTTTTACATTTAATTATCTACAAAAAATGTATCAATACTTTTTTTTCTACGAGCCACCGTTTTTAAGATATAACTATTCAAAAAGTTGTAATCGTCATAATATGCACACGTTTCCACGCCACCTATGAGGTAGTGCACTTAGCGCGTTTTTTTAACGTGGTTTACCCTGTGGGCCTATTCCATGAGTCAGCTGTGATCCTGTTCATTTCAAAACTATTGCAAAATGATAGATATTAGCAGAGATTGAAAAGATAAAAGCAATTTGAAATGAAAAAAAAGTTGTGAAATTTAATCGTTCTTGTTCTTCATCTTCATCCTGAGTACATGTAAACCGCGTTAATATTGTTGGCTAATTGTTGTTGGCCAATTTCCAACCCCAGTCTGTAGGGTCCAGCTGATAACCAAGCCACACTTGAACAGGGGACATATGTTGTCTCAAGGTTACAATGGCGTATAAATTAAGGGACTGGGTTTCATTTCACCTGATATTCTTATAGTTATAACTTATGTATATTTTATATTATAAGTGTGAGTTACAATGACCAATAGAAAAAAATTACAACATATATTACGTGGCGTACTCATGCATATTACGAGTATGACGATTACAACTTTTTGAATCGTTATATCTCAAAAACGGTGGCTCGTAGGAAAAAAGTATTGATAAATTTTTTGTAGACAATTCTATGATCCACAATTTTTGTCTGAAGTGTTTTTTATGATAAAACTTACCGTTTTGCTGAAAATCGAGAAAAACTCATTTTTTTGACCTTGAATAAAATTTATTCCATACAGGGGAAAGATGGGGAACTTTCAAATTTTATTTTTAATCATATTTTAAACAATCTCAATGATTTTCAGCTCGGTGGGAATTTAGGTAGCTTTACTCTTATTTTTCGGTCTAATTTGACCTGGCTAATAACTAAAATAGTTATAAAATGTTTTGGTTTTGAAGTCATTTAGACATAAATATTTGCTTGGTAAGCAGTCAACTTCTACTCGGAGGATTCTACTCGTGTCGACAATCTTTAAGCTCCATCTTTTGACAGGCAGACCTGAGACATTAATAATAATGATACGCCATTGTCTGAAGTCATACAACATCATTGACAAAGCTTGAATATAATTAAAACACATGTGATATCTACTAAAAACGTGAATTAATTGGTTCGTCACCTAGTGGAGAGTTAGGAGAATAAAATATTAGTAGTACTACCTACTACTACTAGATTTATTTTATTTTTGACAAATTCACAATTTGTATAAGAATAGTCATGCTTATCCTAGATCATAAAAAAATAAAATACAAAAAAATATAAAATTACGAAGAAAAGTATATACAAATAAAAACTCCACGTACACAACGTTAATACATTAACTACAGCTTATGCACAAAAGCAATAAGTGTTAGAGTATTTATCGTGAAACTCA